GGAAGAGCTTGGTATGCCTTTTGCAAAATTGTTTAACATGTCCTTAAAAACGGGTGTAGTACCAGAATCCTGGAGGATAGCGAATGTAATACCGATTTTCAAGAAGGGAGAGAGATCACTATCCTCTAACTACCATCCGATCAGCTTAACATCAATTGCAGGCAAATTACCGGAAGCAGTAATTTCAAACTATATTCGAAACCACATGGAGAAGCACAAGTTGATCACTGATTCCCAACAAGGCTTCACAAGCAGTATGGGGAGGATCATCGTGTCTCCGTCAGGGGGTCCTGGAGTGGTGGTCCAGCAGGCGTCACGGAAGCGTTGTGTGTGGTGACATCTTAGGAGGTAGTGGATGAGGGTGCGGCTGTCGGGTCTTCTACATAATGCACAAGAGCGTTGCTCAGGGGATGCGGGGATACCAATCTCGTTAAAGCATCTTAATTTGCACTCCCTCGAGAGACGTAGAGTGAGGGGTGATATGATAGAGGTGTATAAATGGAAGTCAGGGCTAAACAAAGGGGACACTACAAAGGTACTTAAACTATCCAACCAGGAGCGAACTCGTAACAATGGTTACGAATACGATGGATGGATACGTTGGATGGATATATGAGCAATAGGGGTTGGTTGTAAATGGGACTGCCCAGTATGGGCCAATAGGCCCGCTGCAGTCTCCTCCATTCTCATGTTTTTATTTTCTTATGTTCCAATTTAACCTTCTTCCTTCTATTCTGTATCCTCCTCCTCCTCCTCCTCTTCTTCTCTGTCGTCCTCTGTACTTTTTCATCTTGTATTCCTCTTCTGCCTTCTCCATCTCCTCCTCTTTCTCCTACTACTTTGTCATCCTCCTTCTCGAATCCTCCTCCCCTGACCATTACTTTGCCCTATCTCAACCTAAAATGATCTGAGTTAAATTACGACAATCACGTGGGAAATCGTTTTTTTTTCTGTTTATTTGGAAATTAAATAGCAGAAAAAGACAGAAGGGACGAAAGAGATATATAAAGAAAGAGAAAGAGATAGAAAAAATATGAAAGAATGACAGAAAGGTATACAAGAAAACAAAAAGAGAGAGGTCAGGTCAAGTCATGACCTGAGTTCACCACCACCATCAACAGATAAGATGACCTGGGCCATCTGATCAAAGGTCACCAAATGAGTAAACAAACTTGACCTACCTTGGACCATTAGACCCGCTGTAGTTTCTTCCATTCTTATGTTTGCATGACACCAGGTCTCCAGTTCAGATGATAACATGTTAGCCTTATCATTTGGATCTTCACCTGACACTAGAAGGGAACTGTCAACAACATACAGCAGAATTTACAGTAACAAAGGAAGAGCAGTGGTCCTAGGATACTCCCTTGTGGGATTTCACAGGCAATCGACGAGGGTGTTAAGTTTTTACCATGTATATCTTTTACCAGTGTGTCGGAGGCTTTTTATAAGTCTAATACGGTCAACAAAATTAAGAAGAAAACCCAGAAATTCAAGACGTGGTTTGGGTCAAACGATGAGCAAGACAGGAGGATGTATGCAGGAGCCAGAAACCAAGCAAAGATAGAGTGTACAAGGGCTGAAAAGGAGTTCCAGAGGCTGGTTGCAAGCGAGGACAAGTCAAACCCAAAGGCGTTTTACCACTAAGCAAATTCGAAATTGAGAACGCGAGTAGGAGTATCAGACCTGAGGCTGGTGGATGGTAGTTACGCAAATTCTGACCAGGATAAAGCTGAGGCATTGAACAGCTTCTTTTCCTCGGTGTTCACAAGAGAGGATGCAACTAACCTTCCTGCGTTTGAGGACAGACGGTTCGACACAGCACTGACCCACATTGTGTTCACAGAAGAGGGTATTAGAAATAAACTGTCCAGGCTAAAGGTCCATAAGAGTCCCGGCCCTGACATGGTGCATCACAGAGTGCACCAGAGCTTACCGAGCCCCTGAAGATCCTGTTTTGTAAATGCCTGTATGAACAAATGGTCCCCAGTGAATGGAAAGTGGCTTATGTGAGTCCTATCTTCAAGAAGGGCGATCGTCACTCCATGAACAACCATAAACCGGTGAGCCTGACTAGCATATAATGTAAAGTACTTGAGAGTATTATCAGAGATGCCACAATGGAACATCTAATACGAAACAACCTTGTAAAGGATTGCCAACACGGTTTTATGCCGGGGCACTCCTGCTTAACACAATTGCTCAAGGTATTGAATATTTGGACCCATATTCTGGAACGGGGTGGTAATATCGACAATATTTACCTATATTTTGTCAAGGCTTTCGACAGTGTACCCCACGAAAGGCTGAAAATCAAACTGGAAGGGTACGGAATTCGGGGAAATGCCCTAGCATGGATAGAAGACATTCTACATGACCGCAAGCAGTGTGTGGTGATTAATGGCACGAAATCGTCGTCTGTACCTGTCACTAGTGGGGTACCACAGGGCAGTGTATTGGGCCCGCTGTTGTTTGTTTATTTCATAAATGACATGCCTGACGTTATACACTCCTCCATACAAATGTTTGCCGACGACGCCAAGTTATTTCGGGAAATTAAGAATCAAGCGGACTGAGAAGAGCTGCAGAAGGACCTCTGTGGGCTCCAGTAATGGTCGAAGAAATGGCTGCTGAGATTCAATGTCACGAAGTGTAAGAGGATGCACCTGGGGCGTACCAACAGTTAGGAGGCGTATCATATGCCCCAACGGGATGAAGAAATTGCACTAGTTGAGACTGTATGTGAGAAGGACCTAGGTGTGTATGTTGACAATGAGCTGAAGTTTTCGGGCCATTGCGAGAAGAAGGTAAATCAGGCAAATAAATTATTGGGTCTTATACGAAGGTCGTTCAGATATCTAGACGGTCCGTCCCTCGTAACGATCTTCAGAAGTGAAGTGCTTCCCCATCTGGAGTACTGTCACCCCAGCTGGTCCCCGAGATATGCTAGGGACTGTCAGTTGGTTGAAAATGTTCAAAGGAGGGCCACCAGACTGGTGCCTGCACTTCGGCACCTCAACTACCCTGAGAGATTGGAGCGCCTGAACTTGCCTAGCTTATACTACAGACGGGCAAGGGGTGATCTAGTTGAGGTGTATAAGCATCTCAGGGGGCACTAAGTCGAGTGTCCTTACTTGGAGCTGGCAGATGCTCGCCCCACAAGGGGTCACAGCTCAAGATTGAAGAAGCCGCAAGTCCAGAAAACTGTGAGGGCAAACTTTTTCAGAGTGAGAGTTGTGAACTCTTGGAACAATCTACCAGAAAGTCTTATGACGGCACCGAGTGTGACCTCCTTCAAGACAAGACTTGACCAACACTGGAGCGGGTTCAGGTACATTCAGGAGCCGGTGCATGCCCAGTATTTACCAATAGTGCTTGACAGAGACGTGACCGATCGCCCAGGCGGCTAGCAAGCCGATCAGTGGCGAAGAGGATAAAAGTAAAAATTACCATACTGTCTCTCTCTCTCTCTTGCTCAGAAAGGGCGGTCCTTGTCCACACCCATCCATTATCACTCATACATCTCTCCGCAACACTGTTAACCTGGTGCCTTACTCGAATTGAAATCCTTCCTTACTAGTTCCCTCTTGATTTAGTAGAGTTTTAAGTACATCGGAAGACTAAGACACCCCAGCTTACATCACATGATGATTAGACACCCAAAGTTAATCTAATCAAACCTAACCCAACCTAACTTCTTCAGGTAACGTTAGGGTGTTTAAATTAATCATCACTTGGATCACATCAACCCCCTCCCCCCCACACTATGTCTCAAGAGAAAGCAAAGTCGGGTTCTCTTAATAATTATTTTCATATGGCAACAATTACCTTTACATACAGTATATGTCAAATATTCATGTTTTTCTGAACGTTGACCCTAAAAAACTGGAACTAATTTCAAATTCCTATCTCTTTGTTGTTGACGTCTGACCTGACTAACAATGGATGCGTGACCTGAGTCAGGTGAACAGTATCACCGAGGTCAAACTTGCCTAGACTGACCTATATTTATTCATCTATTTTTATCCTCCGCTGGGTCAAGAAATAATACACGCCAATTATCAGTCCGTCTCTAACTAAGATTTCCTCAGTGGTGGTTCCATGAATAGCTTTGAATTTCTTGCGTGGTTACTGTTACACAATCGGGATCACACGAAGATTCTTCACTCCCCCTTTTGGTTCCATAAGTCACATAACGAATGTATTTACGGCATAAAAATACAACAAAAGCTTTATTAAAATTAAAATTAAACATAAGTTAATATGGTCAGTTAGGTTAGGTTAGGTTCTTTCCTCACACAGCCAAACTGTGGAATGCTCTGCCTTCTGTTTCCATACTCATACAATCTGCCTCACTTCAAAAAGCTGGTTTTCCTGCATCTTCGTCGTGTAAATTAATATAATCTTTTCATTTTATATTTTTAATTTATTTTTACTATTTTTCGCCCCCTGAGGCCCGTTGTGGGGTCGATGACTTGTTCTTATAAGCCTTCAACGAAACCCTTGTTCACGCCTATCTACTTAACCCAATATACTATGGTCCTCGGAGATTGCAATTAATATTTATGTAATGATTAGTGGAGATATAATAATTGCCTTAATTTCGTTTCTAGACCTACGTTAGTGCTTTCATACGGTCTATTAATCGATAAAATAAGATACAGCAGGTTACATAATATCTGATACAGTGCTAATGTTCAAAATGTTGTAAATAATTTTCTAGGACAGTTAGGACATCACAGTTAGTAGCTGTAGTAATAAATTATGTAGAACAAATTAAATATAATATAAGTTTGTAGTTGTTCTAATTCAGCGAGAGTTAAATGTGGAAATAAATATTCTTCATTATGTGATTTCTCTCCCATCTATTTATAATATATGTTAAATAAAGACACATATATTAAATTATAACATATTCTTCCGAGAAATAATATAAGTTTAGGTAATTTTGATCTGAATAAAGAGGATACATCCATAATGACAGTCATGAGAGAATAACACAACAGCTGAGCCTGAGAGGTGTACCTGCAGCAACAGACAATCCCACATTTTTTTGCTTTTTAATTGTGGTGAATGAAGTGTTTGGGTTGACATACCGTGAGATTTATACTAATGTTAAGGCATATACTCAAGAGGCACTATGATCCACTCGACAACAACCTCCTCTATCCCCTCGCTAAAGGTGTGTGTTACTATGATTCTTTGATTGGGAAAAAAGAATAAAAGAGGTGGCTCATGATGTGCTTGTATGATCTCAAACACCACCGAGACTTATTGTTTGTAACTTAAATATGTGAGTTAGTGTATAAGTGTGTGTGTGTGTACTTACTGAGGCTCCAGATTGGTGAATACCTTAATGAGAAGAGAGTTAAATAGTGCTTACTGGTGCTGTTATATTTACACATTCTTAATTGCTGTAATGATAACTTGAAGTATTTTAAGTTACTCTTTCAAATGAATTTATGTTTAAAGGGCCTCTACTGTGGCTTCTGTGTAACAACAATTTATTATTAACAATTCGAGCAGAGTTAGGAATAAATGTGAAGGGAGGAGAGTCAATCCTTACTAACTTGTATAACAACCTGAAAGTTTCCAGGGTTATTAATTATTATGTTTTTATGCATAATCAGATGGTGGAGGGATGATGCTGTGTTTTCATTTACAAGTTATTCAGAACCATATTAAGATATAAATGTATTTGATTTAGAAGATGTGATTGGTTTATTACTGCTACTGTGTGAGACTACAACATTAAATCCTTATTGAAAGATAATCGTGATTCAAACAAACCAAGTCTAAATGTATACTGTATATAACTTAGCCTTATTTTTATTTGGCTTTTTTCTACATCTGTCATACATTATTAGAAGTCTTGTTTTACCACTGTATTCTGTCATGACATTCATCCACTTAGAATTTTCCATATTTTATTTTTGTCACATAACACAAACCATCTTTCAAAACAGACAAAATAAACCAATTAAATGTAACCTAATGATCTCTGAATAATTATTTGTTGAAGTTAGGGGTAATACTTGCCAACTGTGTCATGGTCTTATTTTCATCTCAGGAAATTTCAGTATATACTGGAGAAAGAAAGAAAATTCTTAGGTTAATATTCCCTTGTGACCATGCACAGAACTTTATATTGATTCTTATATATAGGGAGATAGAGGGAAAGAATACTTTATTGTATTTCCATCAAACATTTTTAATTTTAGAGTTATTTCACTTTTCAATTTCAGGTTTGGTTTCTTAGGGTCCTTTGTTTTTTCTTGTCTTGTTGGATTAGGTTAGGTTTACACATTGGGGATTATCTAAAAAAAAAATTGGCATGGTCTGAAAAATGGCAGATGAAATTTAATGTGAAAAAATGTAAAGTAGTACTTAGTCTAGGAGATGTAAATACTGTAGAGAAACCAGATATCAAATGAACAATATTGATACTGTATACAGAAATCTAACTGAGGAAGATTAAGGGGGTGATGATATGTAGAAAACTTAACCAAGGTAACAATGTGTATTTGCTCAAAACAACGCTAACAAGGTACTGTACAGTACTTGGGTTCATACAGTGGAGTGTTAGTTACAAGACTAACGATGTTATCCTAAAACTGGACTGTATCATGCATTTGTGAGAACTCACTTGGATTATGCAGTTCAGTTTTGGTCACTGTACCTGTACTACAGAATGGATATCAAAGCCATAGAAAGTATTCAGAGGAGGATTAAAGCACCTCAATTGCACTCCCTCGACAGACCTAGAGTTAATAGCAATATGATCGAGGTGTATAAATGGAAGTCAGGGTTAAACAAAGGTGATACCATATAACAAAGGTATTTAAACTACCTAACCAGGAATGAACTCATAGCAATGGTTTTAAATTATACAAATTTAGATTTAGGTGTGGGATAGGTAAACACTGGCTTGGAAATAGAGTAGTGGATGAGTGGAACAAGTTACCGAACATCATCATTAACTTGAACATGCTGGGACTCTTGAAATATAGGTTGGACAGATATATGAGCAATAGTAGTAATGAATGCCCCTTGGAATCAAGGATGGCCAGCCCTAGGGCCACCTAGGCGTGAATTTGTTTAAGGTATAGAAGCTATTGCCAGCATAACAACCACACCCTAAGTTAATGAGTTACATGACCTAGTGTCAAGGAACAGTCTGAAAAGACCGGACAACTCGCCAACACTACTGGCTAACCATTACCCCGGAACATGATCCACAAATCAGTTAACATCTAGGTTCCTATTATTGCTGGGTAAACAGAGGCAAATGGCATAAAGAAACTTACCCATAGTTTCACCCTGCCCGGAGATTGAACTTGGGTCCACTCACTTGCGAGGTGAGCATGCTGACCATTACATCACAGGTCGCCATGTGGTGAGCAATATGGATTGGGTGTAAACGGGGCTGCCTAGTATGGGCCAATAGGCCTACTGCAGTTTCCTACATTCTTATGTTCTAATTGTCAAACATCCTGTAGACTTACAGTATTAATAAATAACATGAGAACCTTTAAGTTGGCCTGTGTAAGTGTGTTTACCTCATATAAGACACTAGATAGTACTGTATTGTACCATACAATAGTTTTAGTTTGTAACATGTTTAGTGTCTTTAAATATGTTAAGATTTGATTGTGATGACTGACTACTAGTAATTAAATCTTCTCAAGGCTTTAAAGGTAGTGATAAAGTTAAAGGTACTTTCGGTGTTCAGATTTAGACTTTTAGCTATAATTAGTTTTAAAGTTAAGGGTTTGGAAAACCATAGCTTTCTTGTCTAGACCATAACACAATGATGATATGCATGATCTTGGAATCCTTACCCATATGATTGTACTCAAACCACCCATAATTAACTTAACAAATATATAAGCTAAGCGCTTTAGGTCAAGTTTGGTTGGTTTTTATCGTGCAATCTTAATAAGGATTCCAGGATCACTTATAAAATCATGTTGTGCTCTAAACACAAAACCAGTGCTTTTTCATTTTGGCTGTAGACATTTTGTTGTAAGAATAGTGGTCTTTATTAAATAGCTAGTCAATATTTTGTAGTGAAACTTTCTATAAACTGTTTTTCTTAACACTATTGTGTACAGTACAGATATGTAACTTTTAGATGTAATTTATTAGATACTGTTATATGTCACCAAGGAGAAGAAAGTCAGTTAATTTTATTGAAAGAACAACTTGCAATGACATTATTTTACACACTGATACAGGTGTATATACATTCATAGTATGTATATATATACATATATAAATACATACATACATACATACATATACATACATAGTGGAATGAAGAATTACCCCTTTAGTATTGGCAGGCAAGAGAGCATACCCAGTGACCAACTGTCATCAGTTTCTTAATAGCCTATCTCATTAATGGTTAGTGTAGAGTCTTATTTTCTTAATTCTTTACAGGCAGTGAGTGCCTCCTGCAGCGTATGTCCCTCCTGCAGGCGATGGAGGTTCACCGGGGTTGTGTCAATACTGTCGTGTGGGACACACCAGGAAACCTCTTGCTGTCTGGCTCTGATGACCAACACCTCGTTATTTGGTGGGCTGCTTGTCACCAGTGTTGAATCCTAATATGTAGTTGGTGAAATTTATATTTTTACTCATGTAAAAAGCAACAACCTTTTTGCCTATTCAACAATCTGAAGAAAGGATGGTGGGGGCAACTCTTAAGCATGAAGGGTTAGTTTAGAGCACAACAAATGACTGGCTGAGTGCACACCACAGTATAGTAATGCATCAATATCCCTGCCCTGCCTTGGGTCTGAGCGTGTGTTTCAAGCATTAAAATTCCAGAGATTCCTTCTGTTACTCATAATTTATTTAGATGAATTATAAACTTCTGATTATGATTATTTTAGATATCATATGTACATACCTATCTCACCACAAGGTAAGGGGATAAATAACTGAATGGGAATTTTTATTGATTTAAAAAACAGTGTGGGATAAGGGAGCGGAAGGATTTTTTATATACTGTAGAGCCACTTCTTTAATTTCACACATAGTGTACATGCTAGTGAACTTTGTTAAAATAAGTTTTCTATGTAATCCTATACAGTATTATCAATTAATATATTTTTTCCATATGTCTCCATTTTCGGTGTCGTAGATATAAATATTTCAAATTTTCTTTATTTCACAATAAATTGTTGATATGACTACAACAATATACATACTTAGAAAACACTCTTCTTCTTCTTTTTGGCTGATGCTTATGCTATTTCAAAACAGTACTGTACCAGATAAATAGAAGTGATTTTTTTTTATACAGTACAGCGGTATTTTATCTTTAAACCAACTTTCACACAGTTTTATTATTTTCTTCTGAAGCCTCATGAATGCTTTTTTTTTATTAGAGATTTCTGTAGTTTTGATAGTTTTGTCTTTCTCCTTGCAGTGATCCCTGGGAGCGCATGACAAAGACACGCATCCACACAGCGCACCGTGCGAATATCTTCAGTGCAAAGTTCTTGCCTCAAACAGGCAATAGAAAGATAATTTCCTGCTCTGGGGATGGCATCCTTATATATACAGGTTAATGTGGAATTGATGCGTAGGACTAGTCATTGTTAGTATTACTGTTTTATTTTTTTGTGAGAAGTGTGATATCAGATCAGATTGAATGAAAGAAGTAAATGAGGTGTTGTAGCAGATACAGTACTGAGGGAAATGAAGTTAGGTGGAGTAAGGGTGAACAAAATGTATGAAAAAATAGGAAGTGTGAAAGTATGAAAAATGGGGAATAAGTGTGAAAAAAAAAACATGAGAAAGATTAAAGTAAGTTAGAAAGGATACAGAAAAGGATGACATTTATTTAAAACACAAAAAAAAAGAGTACTGTACAGTATAATAAATAAAAAAGTAAAAAAAGTAGGTAGAATAAATGTAGGTTTGAACAAGTATAAGAAAGAGTGGAAGAAGGGTAAGCTGTATAATATAAGTGGAGTAAGTGTGAAAAAGTATGCTGAGGAGATGTACAGTACTGTGTGCATTGACGAGTAGAAATAGTAATCGAATTGTTACAAATATGTTACTCTTGGATTGTGCAAAAACTCCTGTAGACTACAACATTCTAAACAAGGCAAAGGTCATTGGATTTATACCTGGAATAAAATAGAATATGGCTGTAAAACAAAGTGTGATGACCTTATTTATTCATTACGTTAGTGCAGATGGGGAGGCAGTTACCAAGGCAATAAAGTGTTAATGTCGGAGGATTTAAGCTTTCTAGGTGGAGTAGGTCAGAAGAAAGAAGACAGTCGAAGAGTAGATCACAAGAACGAAGTCAGGCTTGCAGTGGGACACAAGAATGAAATCAGTCTAGAAATATAGGCTGAGAAGAATGAAGTCCCTCTGGGTGGAGCAGGTCACAAGAATTGAGTCAGTTTAGGAATAGAAGAAGGAATGCATTCTAAAGAATACATCACATAAAGAACAAAAAGTAGCATATTGGGGGTAGAAATTATGTAAAGAAGTGAGTGAATGAAAGGAGACAGGAATGTGACTGACTGGCAAATCAATGTAATGGGCAGAGTGAATGATGAAAAAAGTATTAAGGTATTGTATAATGTCTGGATTGACTGGGCTTGATTCACCTTATGCTCAGGAGAGATTGTCTTAATTTGTTACCATTTATTTAGTTCTGGAGTAAGGGTAATAGGTAGATAAAGTAGATAGGTAGAGGATATAGATAGGAGATATTCAGATAAGTAAGTAGATAAGCTCACATACATAAACAGATAGAAGATAAGTAGGCAATTAGATAGGTAGACATACAGATAAACATAAGCAAGATGAACTAATTGGTTTTTTACGGGATTTCAGCTTTATAGAGTTTTTGTGGTTAGGAATTTCTGAAAGTGGCCAAATCATGACAAGTTATGGATTAAGACATTGAAAATTATGGAAGTTTTCCTCTACAGTACTAACATTGTTATACAGAAACACTGAATTATTATGATGAAAAAAATCCCATATATATTTTATCAAATTTGAAACAAGACTTCAAACCATATTCATCTTGTGCTCCATAGATGTTGAGAGGCAGGAGGAGACACACGACTGTAAGTTTACCTGTCACTTGAGCACATGCTACGATGTCATCACTCTTCCCGATGATCCTAACACATTCCTCTCGTGTGGGGAGGATGGTTTTGTGCGCTGGTTTGATTTACGAGCCAAAGAACAATGCTCTGCGCGTAATTGTCAGGAGGTGAGTTTTTAATGTGTATTTTAGTTAAGTCTATTCAGAAGGTTTAGTCAGATAATTTGCAGTATTTTCCCTGCATTATGGCACTTACTTCTTAGAAAGAGCCTGATCTAGGTTCCCTTTCCGGATTAGGGAATACAGTACAGGCAGTGTCTGAGTTATGAACTGGTTATGCTCCTGGACCCTGTTCGTAAGTATGAACAGTGATAATTTGATAGTTTTAGTTTGGTTAAAGTACAACCCTGTCCATACAAAACAATAATATCCCATGCATAACAAATGATGTAAATAATATGATGTTAAACTATTCAGTATAAAATACTGAAAGTAATGTACAAAAATTTAATTTTAGTTGCAGATTTTTGTAATGAATAGTGTATATTAGAACCTTGTTCATAAGTGTATCTTTCTAATTTTGAAATTAATCAAATGCAAATTAAAGTCTCTGTTATTTTAAGGATATGATAAAAGTTTATGGTTACAGTAAAGCCACTGCCCAGTTTAAGTATAATACTGTACTGTACTGTATATTTGAACATCAAGTTGTTCTTACCAAACTTTCTTAATATGATCTTCCAGGTTTTCCTTTCCGGATCTGTTTCAATCCAACTCAATATCTTGTACTGTACTGTATAGCTGATAGATTATCATAATTTCATTAAAATGTTGTTTTGGGGCATTAAAGACACTGAATTTGAGAGTGTTTATTGTATTGCAATGAACATGCAATACAATTTTAGATTACCATATGGCCAATAATTTCAACCGAATTATATCTAAAATCTTCCCAAAATCTACAATCCAAAACTTATTCTTAGGACATACTCCTAAACATGGGTCGTGCTGTGACTGCTGTGGCGGTCAACCCCATCACACCTTATCATATGGCTGTAGCAACACAGGACTCCACCATCCGAATATACGATCGACGCATACTAGGCACCCGGGCAACTGGTAAGAATCTTTTTGTGAACGTTAGCATTCAGTTTTAACCTGTGCACGTCGAAGGAAAAACAAAAATATGATATTCTAACTTTTTTTTATTAAGTTATATGATTCATATAGATTTATTAACTGAGTGCAAGTTAAGCTTGGGAATATGAATACAGTAGTACAAGTAATTCATTTGGGTTCCACAACTTTACTTGCTGTATATCTTACCTCAGCTGATGTGTAGTTTTTTTTGGTAAAAAAGGAGATTGTTGCTTAAGATTTAATTATTATACAGGGGCCCCCCATGTTCGTAGATTTTTACTTCGCGGTTCTCAGATATTCGCGGATGACACCCTGGATGTACCCAAGAATGTCTGTGGGTAGTTTTAAAGTTGCCGGCATTTTCGCGGCTGGGACGGAGCCATTTGTTCTAGAGACAATAATTTCCTTTACCTGTAGGTTGTATTGTAAATGCGTGTGTGTGAGTGTAGACACACACAAACACACAAAACACTTACAAATAAATAATAATGGGAAAATACTCTCACAAATAGTCAGAAACAAATTTATTAAAAATGTGACAGTCTACCCTCAAGTCCATGCTCTATTACAGTACAGGTACTTTATTAATAGAGCACGGACTTGAGGGTAGACTGTCTCAATTTTAATAAATTTGTTTCTGATTATTTGTGAGGATTTTTCCAATTATTATATATTTGTATGTGTTTTGTGTGTGTGTGTCTACACGCACACACACACACACACACGCACACATATATACAATACTATAGGTAAAAGAAATAATTGTTCTAAGGGGAAACACATAAAGGGAATATACATTTCTTTATACACAAGTAAAAATGTAACCCCCTGGTCCGCAAATGTTATTCGCGTATTTGGCGATTCGCGGCCATTTTGAGAACCTAACCCCTGCAAATTTGGGGGGCCCCCCCTGTAATATTTTGTGTATTGCTTAGTCATAAAGTAGGACGACAACTAATTAAACTAAAATTCTCAAGGTGATGAAAAGTGATGACAAGAAAGGAAAAATAAAAATCCTTATACATATTCCTGAACTTACTCAAGCATCAGGGGAAAGGATTCATCACTCAGAATGTCTTAATATCAAACAGCATGCAGAAAAACCAGTGTGAAAAAAATTGGTAGCATTGGTTACAGCTTGAGCGTTAAAGACTTATGGTGTTAGGTCTTCTTTTTCCTTACTGACTACAGGAGATTCTTGTTACCGGTATCCGATACTAATAGGGACTGGAAAAGCGCCACTTTTATTGAATACACATAAAGCAGGGAATTTCTGTCCATAAGAAATAATGGGAATAGGGTTTGATTGGGACCATAATTTACTAAATGACACTGAAAATTATTGTTTTTATATCTTTTAGCATTTATACTTGGAAATCTAAAGAGCATGTGAGATGTCATATCACACGCTCACCAGTTTTCTTCCATCGCATAATGTCTAATTTCACAACCAACCTATAGCTGCTACACTTCCTTCTAGGACCAGAATTTATTTTTGCACCAGCACTACACTTTGAATTCATGGCAAAAACAATAGTAATGATTCTTAAAGAATACACATGAAAATCAATAGAAAACCATGAGAGGTTAGGCACTGTTTATTGTGGGTGAATGACTGAGAGCAAGTGCGCAGCGTGGGTATGGGGGATAAGCGTGGTGGAGTTTGGGGGATGCGCATCAGTATAGTTGGAGATTTGAATCGTACTGTCTTGAGACTTTTACGCTCCGTGGATACTATCCTTCATAAGTGCAGGAATTTTTTACGTATAGTTAAACAATAATTTGGCCTCGTAAATGCAAAACCGCGGATATTGATACCTTGGATAATGAGGACCCCCTGTATACAGTACTGTATTTACAATAGTAGAGTTGAATCAATTCACCTTCACAAGATAGGATTGCCAGCAGGAGATGAAATGTCAAAGGTTAAATGAATTCAGACTTACAGAATACGCTCACCAGCCAAGATTCAGAATTCATTGACTTTCAAGGTTGTATCAGTCATCATAACCCGAGGATAGAGAGAGACTCATGTGGGTTACTTGCTGTAACAGTACACATCTAGTTTTAACCTTGCTGGTAGAAAACTGATCTATAATCATAAGCTATATTTTGGACTTAACTGTTTAAGGATGCTTCATATATATATCAAGCCATAAGAAACAATGTGGAATGGTAGATCAGTAGATTACTAACATGGCTCAATTTCTCCCTCAGATTCATACCTGGAACAAACTGACCGAGCACTTCTGATGCGACTTAAACCTGACAACATGGAGGGAAAGAATCATCGAGTAACGTCCCTGCGTTACAGCCAAGATGGTCAAGATGTCCTTGCCAGTTACTCCTCAGATTATTTATACCTTTTTGACACACAGGTAATGTAAAAAATAATAAGTATTTTCTTTCCTAATTGAAGTGAATTATTTGGAGAAAATGGAGGAATATTGAATTTTGAGAAGATTATAGTAGCTTTAGAAAGTTAAGAATCACTGTAGGTTCAGGTAGATTACCTGTATTTTTGACTGAGCTGTGTCAGGTTTTATTAGGTTGGCTAGTATTAGTTATGTTAGGTAAAGAGGGAGACTTCATGTTATGTAATTATTGGATTTAGCCAATTCGAATATGAAATTGGAGTTACCATTCCCCGATTTACAAAAGGGTTCCCTTTCTGAAAACTTTTTGCAAATCATTTTCTTTTTTAAATCTGATCACACATTCCCATAGACTCCCATTATAAAAGCTGAGATACATTCCTATGAAAACATACCGGGTACTTCCACAAAAGTCTTAAAATACCGCTAAACATGCTTTTAATTAAAAATTTTAATGTACACAACAATAATAACCAATAATACAGCTACATAATATGTGAAATATATGCAGTACTGTACAGTGCAGTAATAAATTTATACCTGTAATTACAAGAACCCAGATGATATTTGAAACAAAGTGAACAGTATGAAACACTAAGCCAACACCTTCACAGTAATAGATATACTACTGTAGTACATTGATTTCCATTCTTAATTTGGAGATACATTCTCTGAAAAAATACTATACCATGCTTGACCCTGAATAAGTTACGGAATAATCCTAAATTTTCACTGTTTTGTTTACATGGTTTGAATGTTGCCTTCTGTTAGTTGATACTATGTACACTCACACTCTCATGCATTGACAACGATATCCACACCTCAGAGTTCTTGTTCACTACCAAATTCCACACTTTGTCTTTTGTACGTGATTAGCATACGGAATTTAAGAATTCTGTACAGAATAATTTTCTTTTATTTAATTTGACAAGTATTACATCAGAGTAAATGAGAAATTAGACAATTGGGCAACTGACTAATTAACTGTACTGGTGGAGATGAGTCTATTTGCCCTCTGTGAGGTCCAGGAGTAAATTGTATGGTGATTGTAAGAGAAGGATGACACATTGAAAGCTAATTTGTAAACTTTGTACAAAAAAATAATAATAATTCTTCATATTTTCATTACAGCACTTGGGGAGGGGGGGGGTAAATATGTTGAGAGCGAAAAATGTCATAATTTCAGACTTTTCATGACTAAATTGAATTGTGGGACTTTTTTTTTTTCAAATTTTTAACTTAGGATTTTCATTATTGAACCTTTGTAAATTGGGTATTGCCTGTACAAAGATATGAGAATTATTACCGAATATGAAAATTTTATGTACTTATGAATCTAATCGTCAGTGAGAGATAGGAAGTCATAGAAAGTACAGAAATATATTTGCAGTACTGTACATTCTAGCCCCATTCTTGAAGCTTTGAGGGATGATGACCACTGTGTGTGTGCGTGTTACAATGAGAACTGTTATCTTTGTTTCTAGTCTGTTTGTGTGGTTTAATATTAATTAATCAACACTTTTCAGAATTATAAGGAAGTGTCCTTAGGAATTCCGGCAGATAATGATGTAGAAACAAATTCAGGTCCCACACTCAAACGCCTCCGTCTCCGTGGCGACTGGTCAGACACTGGCCCACAAGCACTGCCAGAGAGTGAGATGCGGAACCAAGCAGGAGGTAAGCTAAGAATGTCCATGAATATGTGCTGTAAATCTATTTTAATTATACTTTTTATATTTTTGAGGAGTGAAATTGATACAGCCTTTGAAGAGATATGTAGAGCTTGAGGATTCACTTTGTGTAATGTGTATGCAAGTTGTGTGTATGAGGAAATGCATAGGGAGTAATTTTACTTACTGTTCTAGCCATTTTATGTTGTTTTCTGCAATTTTATATAACAACTCTTTTGTACCATTGTCCCTCTTTCTTGAGGTGCTTGTATCCCCTTTTCCACTCCTTACAGGATGGTGAAGAGAAGTTTAGATAACAGTTTATTAATGTCATTTCTATTATTGTTAGATGAGGACTTCCCTGATATTCAATTGCATAATACCTAATTCTGATAGATTAGAGTTTATTTCACCAGACCAGTAACTTTGTGACTGCTTGTGTTGGTTTTGTATACCATCAGCATCAAAGCTACATTTACATTGATGCCCCAGATTGACAACTAAATTTATACTCTATTTCTAAGATGTACAACTAGTTGATAAAACAGGAAAAAGGTCACAACTGAATTGAGACAAAGGATGAGGATTTATGAAAATCTCATGATAAATAGGTCAGATCTAACAGTAAACATCTCAGTGTTTTTTTAAAGTATTTATCACAACTAGTGAAGAATTAAGGAATATTCAGTGGTCAGTCAGTCTTGTAGATATATGATTAGAGTAAGAAAAGCATCTGTATGTATGCCTTACAAGGATGGAAGTATATTTCCAGAGTCAGTGAGATTGTGCCAGTGTCCTGCTTTGGCACGCTTTCATGCTTTATATAACCTCAATAATAATTAATTTTATATTTTTCCAACAGATGTAGGACAAGCAAGGCCAACCTTGCATGCAACTCTTATGCAAAGAATGACAGATGTTCTGTCGCGCATGTTGAATGATCCTGGTACGAGAGCTTCCGTCCAGAACCGTTCAAATTCCCTTGTAGAAACAAGTGGTGACATGGATGTTGGTGCTGAAGGTGGTCAGTTACCATCCTCAAACACAGATGCACAACCCTCTACTTCAGTACCTCCCACTGAGACTGTGAATGCATCACCTACCACAGAAGGTTCTGCAGAAGTAGTTCCTCAATGTTCCCCAACCTCAGAGGCTATTCCCTCGTGCTCACACACTGATAATTCTAGTGTCACAAAGCCTTTAGAGACAGAGTCACAAGCAATACACCCCACAGACCAGACAACCTCGGATTCTCACTTGTCAAGTTCCTCAGTGGAACAGCCTCCTCAACCTTCGCAGTCAGAGACAAATGAAGCCACAACAAATGAGGTTGATAGTTCAAAATGTGATGCAAGTAACCATATTGATGAAGACTCCTTAAACAGTTCACAAAGATCAACAGATCAAGAAAATGTAATAGACTCCAACTTAGAAGGTTTACAGGACAGGATCTCATCACTTAGGAGAGGATTTGTACAAAAGTAAGTTTATATGTTGTTTATCACATTTAGGAGTATTGTACAGTATACTGTATATGTTAATGTCAATAACAGATTTTTTATTAGAAAAATTTGCAAGTACAGTTAAGAAAATGATTAGTATATTTATATGACTGAGATCATTTCTCAAGTATATCTCTTCTATTTCTCATCCTTTTCTCTCCAGTGTAAAGTTCATTTAAAATATAATATGCAGTACTAACCATAGTCTCCGTAACCTGCTGAAAGTTATTTTGCTTTAAAGATGCAGATGGGTTTTAATTCAAACCTAAAACTTGTAGTATACATATCCAAAGCAATGGTGTTTTTTTTTAACTTGGTTTTGTTAAGAAAAATGAGCTGGCATATGGAATCTAGTGGATGAGTTTCATATAGATCATCCTAACTTATACCAGGAGAAAATGTGGTAGGATTAGATAGATGGGAATGATATTAAAATATAAATAGAAGCAGTTTGCATGTCACCAATTGATTCTAGGGGAATGATATGGTATTGATGGCTGATGCTAGGACGTACCATATAAAAACATATCTGTTTAACAGTAAGAATGAATGATACATGTGGGCAAACAAGGGAGAGAGAGAGAGAGAGAGAGATTGTGTGTGTGTGTGTGTGTGCGCGTGCATGCATGCGTGCGTGCATTCTTAATTTCATCCACCCTATGTTATAGTGGTTGCTTGTGAGCATTAATGGTGCCCTACACATACTGTAGACCCAAAGTATTTTCACTGGTTCAGGGTATGATTTTCATTAAGTAAGATAGTAATGTTTCACTCTGTATATAATACTTTGTTTTGTAAGACATCTATTGCTTTCTGCCCACCTGTTGCATGTCTCCCTTGGTCATATCTTCCCTTTAGGATTCAGTCCACAGAGTACTACAGGGGTATTTCTAAATTAATCCACTTTTTAAGCTATCCAAAATCTAAGGGTTAAAAACTAGATCCTGTATTTTGTTAATATTGTATTTTCTCCCATTTTTAGTAGGGAATGTTCTTATCACGAAAGGTAAACTAAGTATGAACTAAGACTAACTGATAATTGAGTGATTTCTTCCGTATCTAAGAATATTTTTAGTTTTTACAACCCAGTCCTGTTTCTTTCAACACACTTGTCTTATACCACTTTACCATAGTAGTTTTTCCTCCCACAATAACATGGTGTTGTACTCTCATTAATCCACCCTGCAGAAAGTAAGAAAATACTGCTTATGAATTAGTAACTTATCCAAGAAGAATTGCTAATTTATCCTAATATTGCTTATAAATGGATAACTTATTTAAAAAAAAAAGTTCTGCTTATTGATTCCCCATATTTCTCATGATTGGAACTTGTTTCTTACACAGGCATCAGGTTGAGCCATCTGTGAATTTGTCATATTCTGGGCGAGGGGTCGGCAGTGGTGTAATAAGTCTGGGTGTTGGCGATGAAGTGTCTCGAGGTAGTGGCCCTCACCAAGAGGTGGCAGAAGAACCCAGCAGCTCCCAGGCCACATTATTACTTAGCTCACCCCAGCCTCAGTCAAACCAAATCTCTCAGTCCCACCAGACTTGTGAAGCAAGTGCGTTGCCTGAGCAACCCTCGTGTTCATCGTCCTCTTCGTCGTTATCGTCCTCATCCTCCTCGTCTCGTCAACCCCATGTAGCCAAGGCTCATGTTTTACCCACCTCTAGCTCTAGTCCTGCCATCTGTGATATGGAAGTAGAACCATCATCGTCTAGTCAAGCGGGACGAGGAGGGCCAGGGTCTGAGGCAATAGCAACTGGATCTTCTAGTCATGGAACAAGAGCAAGTGAATTCAACTTTGGACCTGCCCTTGGTATTGTATAAGCTTACTGTCTGTTGATATGCAGTAATTCCCATGCCTTACACTAATTTTTTTTTTTTTTTTGCCACCTACCTTTTGTGAACAACCTCCATGGCAATTAATAAGAATTAGACAAAATATAATTAGTCTATTTTTCCTGAAAGGCACAAGGGTAAAAAATAAATTGTCCACCAGCACAATATGTAAACCAGGAGTAACAACTTTACACAATTTTTGTCCAAAGTAAACAATTTTAAATACCCCACATTCATAGATTCAAACATAAGATACAGTATACAGTATTTATGAGTGACCAAGACCAAATGTTACCACCTTATGCCCTGAAAATTATAGTAGAATGCTGTGAACAACATAATTTACACTTCAGACCAGTAATATCAGCTAGAAAATACTTGGGAGATGGTTGTACTGTACAGCTATATGATTCTTGTTGGTCTCATTACCCTTCCAGTTGATGATTACATTATGAAGTCTAATTTATTTTTGTTCTGTGAGGGTCATTTTCTTCCCATATTGTAAGTAGATTTTGTATAAGTTATAATCATTATATAGTGTAGTCCATGTTTTAATGAGAATTGGTTATGACCACCGTAATGCTTCCCTCAGGTGTTATTTATATGAACATAAATCCTTACAGTTGCAGTTACTCAAAGATGAAAGAAACAATTAACAAATTTAATACAGTAGATAAATGAATAAAAGTACTGTACTCTGCAGAAAACCAGTATTAAGCAGAAATTTTTTATTTTGTCCCCCAAAGGAGAAGGAAACCAGTGTATCACCGTAACCTTTGGGATTTCGTGCTGATGGATAGGCTTCATAGGTCTTGGCTGGCATAGTTACTCGACATTATATTCCTAATCAAGCATTACTGTTTCACTAAAAATTTTAATTAAATGTTTATCAGGTATTTGAAAAATTGAATTATCAGAGATACACAATAAATCATGGTAAAGATCCTCAGTTACTGAGCAGTGACACAGCTCTAAGTATCATTGTGTGGGTTGAGTGTTAAGAGAAGTGATGGCTCACAATGGTGGGATCTGAGGTCTGAATGAGACCAGTTATTTGTTACCCTCACTCCATGCAGGTGGTCAAGTGGTCTACCCCCACCACCAACCTGTTGAACGATTAACCCTCTTCACTATCAACCATATCATATGAACCACTAACCATCTACAACATCAAATCAAACCATTTGAACCACATCAATCATCTTCACCAATGACACCATCAACCACCTGCACCACCTGCCATCTTCACTATCCTACAAGCATTCTCCATTACCACTACTGTATCACCAGGCCACTGCAGTGACATAACAATCCCCTGGGCAACATTACCTAACCACACCTCATATCACCATCAGGGCACACACACACACACACACACACCTTACTGATTTAACAGACCTATGGGCAGCATTGCCTCCCAGTCATTCTAATACATTATTTCACAATGTATTAAAAGGACACACTTACTTGTGTTAGCTATAGGCCCACTGCTGGCTGGAAGTGATAATGGCCATTCTGATTTTTTCTCTTTCTTTTGCTGGATCGTGTTCGGTATACAGTAGTCATTTTTATTACAATTGAATAATGTTGATACTTTGTACAATATGTCTTGAACATGGTGCTTCTTAATGTATCTTCATGCATATTGTTGGAATTACTATGTCTCTTAACTTTTGTACAGTACAGTACTGTATTGTTAAACCTGGTTTTTTTTTATTGAGAATACTGTTAATCATCCTGTATCTTATCATTTATTCATAAAAATGGTAGAAATTTCTTGGGTATTATACTCATGATATATGAAAACTATTGATTTGATTATTTTCTTATATTAAATGATAGAAAGAAATATTGAATCATTTACATTATACGTACTGTAATATAATTCTCCTGTTACAGATTTTGGGGACGATGATAGTGATGATGAGTCAACAAGTGCAAGGTAAGAGCATTCATTTAGTGAGGAAATTTATGATTATATTTTCCCCTGCTGCTTTGCACTTCTTTGTTTGCCCATGCATTGTACACTGCATGCTAATTTACATTTCCATCCCACTAAAGTTTGTTAACAGAATTAAACAAAATTTAAGAATGGAATTTTGTTGTAGTCCTCTCTTCATGCATCTTTGATTTACCTTATCAGATTTTCTAGCTTTATTTTTGCAATTTTAAGAAGAAATTGTAATGTAACACTCATATGTGGGATGTGATCGGAGAGAGGATTAATGAACAAACAAAATTTAGTGAATAAAAGATCTGTAATTCATACATTCCTTGAATTATCAAGGAATTAGGTTAATCAATACATTTTTTATCTTTGTTTATAACTACTGTATTAATTATGTGCTGTCAGCTGAGTAACTAAAACTTGGGAAGAGGTACAGTTTTCAAGTTTGGCATATGCACTATATTCAACAAGGCAAGCCCTAGAATTACCTTATTTTTAGGATCAAAAGTTCAGATTTATTGTCACTTTTTTAATAAACATAATACCCTCCATTAGTTGAAACCTCACATGAGTACATTTAGTTAAATTTCATTGGTGAGAAAGAGGTGATTGCTACATGCATTGTATATACAGTATATGCAATAATATTGAAAATATCTTATCAGGACTGCTGGTGCACGTATGGCTAGTGCAATTGAGCGTGCAGTTCAGCGTGCACGGGGGGAACGTGCCCCGGGCGTTGGAGGGGAAGCAGAGGCCACAGTACCCCAGGCAGCTGTCAAGCAGTGTTATAAAGGTCATCGTAATGCCAGGTAAGTTACTTTTATTGCAGTGTATATCACATAGATTTGGCTAGTGTGTCTTTGTGTATGCTTCTCTGTACATCAACTTTAAAACATAAAAACTTTAACAAATAACAATGGATTTGAGCAAATTCTGTATGATACTGTTAACAAAAATATGTAATTTGTTCTGTATATTCTCTACCTCCATATTTTAGGACAAATAATTTTACTATACCTCTCAGTAGTTCTATGTTGTGGAGAAGTTCAGCTTTGACTGGGAGGGATTTTGTCTTAATACTGGAGTCTCTTTTGCTTAAGCTGGTTTCATACTTTGTTGAAGTCAGCTCAGAATTGTATCACCTTTCTTAGAAAAGCCTTTCAAACAGGAATTTGTCATTACCACTATACCTGTATTTATCACATTTATTTCACTTTCAGAACTATGATAAAGGAGGCTTGCTTCTGGGGAGATGATCACGTTATGTCAGGTTCAGACTGTGGTCGAGTGTTTGCATGGGAACGTAAGACCGGCCGACTGGTAATGCTGTGGGAGGCTGACCGGCATGTTGTAAACTGCTTGCAGCCTCACCCAACTCTTCCTGTGCTAGCTACATCAGGCATTGACTATGATTTGAAACTGTGGGCCCCTTTATGCGAAGAATCACGCTTTGATGAAGCTAAAGCTCAAGAGGTACCACTGGCCAAAATTAGTAATAATGATAATTCTAATTAGAATGATAACTGGTTTATCTTAGAGGATTGAATATGTTCATAATTGACAGTGAACATTACAGTGTAACAGGTTAAATTGTAAATATCACTTACCACATTTGATGTTAAAAGTAGTTATGGTAAGAATATTGGAGATAAGAATTTTAACTGAGTGAATCTCTATATGTGTATTCAATACCTCTGCCAGTTTTGCTTTGCTTTTCACAGGTGACCCACTCTGCTTCTGTTCATATTTGCCTGGTAGTGCTTTAAAAAATTCAAACTCTTGACTTTATTGTTGAAAAGAAATAGTTACTTTGAAAGTGTCCAGATTCAATTTACTTTTTTTTGTACAGTACAGCAAAGCCTCCGATAACGACGGTTCAACTAATGAAGACTCATATCGAAGACCCTGGTTAATTTAGGACCCAATTCAATTTACGCCATTATTTTCTTTGTATTAACGACGAAATTAAAAGAAAATATTACATTTTCGTATAAATAATAACTAAATCCCGATATTATAAAAAAAAACACGCCTTGCACACGGAGCCTGCCGGGCTTGTTAGTGGTGACTCCAGCATCACTAGTATAAACAATCGCAGCTGGCGGGTCCTTTGTTTTCAAGCATCTGAACAGGGAAAGGAGAAAAACTTTCTCAGGTTTCTTACAGCATTTTTGCATCCCTATTCAACATGAGCAAGAGAGCAAGTGATGGTAGTGTTGTTTCAAAAGGTAATAGAAGTGTATAAGCTTAGCCAAGAAACTAGATGTGTTAAAACGATATGAAAAAGGTGAGAGAACTGGATATTATATGGAGCAAGCTATGAACATATTTTCTGAAGTGGATCCATTAACAGAACAAAGCATTAAAATTTAAATAAATGCAAATGACATCTACATAAAGATGTATAATGAGAAAAGAAAGCAGCTGTGCAAGGTTCTTTTGACAGCTTTATTATTTGAAGGCCTAAACCATCAACTTCAGCTACACCATCAAATTCAGCACCATAATCAACTTCAACAACAACTTCAGGTTCAGTAACAGTTTCAGCAACAGCTTTATGGAAAGCTACAGCTTCAGCCAGAGTTGAACCTACAGCTTTATCCAGAGCTGAACCTGATGACTTCGTCATCTGAGTAAAAACTCGCACAATATTCATTGACTGTCCTTATGTTTTAGACTCTACCACCATTGGTGAGTAGAATTTTTGTTTTACATTCGTAAACATTATTTAAAACATCTATGAACAGTAACTAAGTGTTGCTTTCATATTCAGATGTACGCAATTACTGTACATAAGTGGGTGTTCCCAGTCATCTCGCTTTATTTCTTTACCATTAGTGGTTAGCTACTTCTAGTGTTCCATTTATTAACATTAAATAACATTACTTAAAACATACATATAGGTATTCAATTTTTTTTACATTAAGTTCACTACAGCTACAACCAGGGTCTTATTTTCTTCAGTTTCTTATGTAGAACCAACGTCACTCACGAAAACAGTGCTGTCTCGTCTCCTCGTGTGTGTTTTAATATTCTACGTATTATTAATGAATTGCATTGTTCATTTCACATATATAATTCATTAATTCAATCAAATACATATTCAGTTATAAACAATAATGAATGTTTTGTACATATTCTTAAAAAGATAAATGATGCGGCTTCCTTAAATGCGCACGTATATGTTGGCATTCCCAATCCATCTCTTTTTTTCTTTTTTTTTGCCATTAGTAGCTAGCTACTTCTATTGTTCCATTTATTAACATTAAATAACATTACTTAAAACATATATATTCATTTTTTTACATTAATTTTACTATAGCTACAACCAGGGTCTTATCTTCTTAATTTTCTCATTTAGAACTATCGTCCCGGACTCCCGGCTGCAAACACTAACGAAAACAATGGCGTCCCATCTCCTCTTGTGTGACCATATTATTATTAATTTATGTTGTACAAGGTGCATTTAGAAACATTATTTAAAGAATATAGTTTGCAATTTTCATTAATTGTATTGTTTTGGGGGGGAAAAGAGGGTAAAAATCCACACAAAATATATGAAAAGATCACACTTGGGAATGCATCTTTTTATTATTACTTTATTTTAATGGTAATTAATGATTCGCAATACGATGATTCACCTTACACTGCAATATTGGAGGACACATTACCGTCGTTAATCGAGGCTTTACTGTAAAGTAAACACCCCGAGTAACGGATTAATTAAACCTCGGTGACGTCGTTATCTCTGGCAGAATTTTGTATTCGGATGTTCACATCAGTAGGGAGTCACAACAGTTCAAAACAACAGCCAGCATATTACACTAGCATAGATTGGCTTATTTAAGCTCATAATAAACTAGTTCAACTAAAATAATCATACTTATAATATACTTTCAGTAAGTTCAGTTGCTTTTTTATTTAAAGAAGATTTTTTAAGGTTCCCGAGTTCCAACGCACATATGTGTTAGGCATGGATGACCTTGTGCAATGTGAGATGATGTGGATGTGTTCACAAAATCCACTTTGTTGTCATAGGTTGATTTAAGAAGGAGTAAAAGGGAATAGGTTCGATATCCTTTGTTATTCTGTATTTTACATGAATCGGTGGCAACACGTGTAGCCATCTCAAGGCCACAGTTGCCGGGTGAAGTGTGTTATGTAGTGAAGGTTATGCGGGCGTGTATGGAACCCACTTTCAGTGGAGATGAAATGGATCACACTTTTGATGTGCTTTCAGTATACAGTACAGTAAACCCTTGTTATTCGTGGGTTTACCATTCGTGGTTTCATGTATTTGCAGTGACCTGATGGTGGCTAGCTCATGAGCCTCTGTGGGAGCACTGCGAGGCACCCCCACGTGCTCACATTTTCCCGTCTCCCTTGTTTGTGCTCAACCATTATCTGCACTGCAGCATCTCTCGTGTTGTGTGAAATATTCCCTAAAAGACTGCCTGGCGCTAGTGATGATAGTGCAGTGAAACGTAAAACGTAAAAGTCAGTGATGACCATTACCAAGAAAGTTCAATTACTATATAAGTTAAAGGAAGGAATGAGTGCTGCTGCAGTTGGCCAGTTGTTTGGTGCAGGAAGTGCTCCTACTAGTGCTAAAGTGACGCAGATTGTTCGTGTTAAGTGTGAAGTGAAAACAGAAAAGCATTGAACATTTGGATTGAGGACCAGCACCACCAAAATATGCCAATCGATAACAACGTGATTTATTAGAAGGCTAAGAGTCTCTAAGACCATTTTCATGAATCAACCGTTGGTGAAGAGGCTAATGAGGCTACTGAATTTTTTTTTTTAGTGGCCATAAAGGGTGGTTTGAGATTTTAAGAAAAGATTCTCACTCCATAATGTAAAGTTGACTGGGGAGGCTGCATCAGCTGACCACATACAAATGTAAGTAGTATGAGTGACATAAGTTTCTCATACAGTAGTGCACTATGGTAGTATAAGTCACTTTTCATGACATTCCTTGGAATCTAACCCTCGTGAATAACAAAGGTTTACTGTATTCAGTTTCAAATTTCTGTATTTTCTTAGAAATAGAACGTTTTTTTGTCGACCAGGACCAGCACTTCTAAGTTGATCCTTCATGGTAAGGCACTTTCTGTTATTATGGGCCTTACCCGAACATACAATACTTGTTTGAGCATTGTTCCCACAATGTGTGCTATTTATCTGTCACGGGAGAACAGGCACGTCTGCACTGAGTACGGCACAGTTGTGTTGTTATGATGTGGGCAGGACCATGCAATCCAATCTGTCTCTCCGCAACCATAACAGTGAACCACAAGATATTTTTTCAAATTTTTTAATATTTTTTCCAAGATTCGTGTCATTACTTGGGGTCTTTACTGTAGTATTTGAATGTGTGAGAAAAAGTTTGTAGTATAACTTGATGTCACAAAATTATAAATGTCATGATAATATTTTACCTACAATGATAGAATTGTGTGCTCACCTTTGCCTGCATAAATTACAAATTAATATTTAAATACAGTTATTGCTCCAAATTTCCAAGCTTCAGTACATTCTTCATGCAGGATTCTTTCACCAATGTTCATTTCTGTTTCAGATAACTCAGCGTAATGAGGCTTTATTAGAAGAGACACGCGACACCATCACAGTACCCGCTACCTTCATGATTCGCATGTTGGCTTCACTGAACCAGATTAGACGTGGCAGTGAGTGTAAACCAGACATGTAAATAACCTAGAGTGAGAAGATTATTCACTAAGAATATGTGTGCATGTGATAGGAGATATAATGAATTGAAGACATAGGAATCTATATAGTTACCTAAGGAGAGACTGGCATGAAGGAAACCTTGATTCATGACTTGCCTTTCTAGTTGAGAGTAATTCTCTCAGTACAGTATTTCTCAACAATTACATTTATACACATGCTTGCATATACACCCCTTCCATATACTCTCAAAACAGTGCCTTGGCACCTTTTCCAGTGCTGTCTTTAATATCTCTCACCTCTATATCCAAATATTTGTTTAAGTCATGATTTCCATATCTTTTTTTTTATTGCCTAGAATAGTTTACCTTTATCCAGAATTCCTGAAACCGAAGAAAATTCTTGAATTCACAGGTTCTTTCGGTTGTTCAGTCAGCTGAGCTGAACGTGCCTGACCATTGCCTCGGTTTATCCGGGAAACTGATTTGTTTATCAAAATTGTTTACAAACAGATAGTCTTGCTTTATTTAATATTTGTTTATTTTGTGCTTTTGGGCTGTTATTTTATTAAGAAAATGTTATGGTGAGAAAAAGAAAAGAAAGCATTACTCATTATTAATAGCTAATAAAGTGGAGATGCATGCATGTGGATTTATTTTAGTTAACAGAAGTAATATAACAACACTTATTAATAGAGGTGGCTGTATACTGTACATTTTTAAACACAGACAACATCCATTAAATCTGGATGTTTACCTTACTGGTTACACACGATATACACTGTTTACATTAAAATCTTGTACTATTATGATAAAACCCGATAACTTATATATTGAGCACCATTAACCCTCTCAGTGCTGGGTGTTTTCTTAAAGCTGAATAAAGTTTTAAAGTGTCTAGAGCAGCGAATGGGTTAAAGAGTACAGTAATCCCTGATTATTTGATTATTTCATATCTGTGATTTCAACAATTTGTGAGAGGCAATAAAATACTAATTATTACTCAGGCCGGGGAGTGGCAACTCACACACATACATGGGGCAACATACTCATAGACTGCAGATGGGAATAGACGAGTTCTAGCAAGTTGTTGGAATTTATCTATAATGTAACTCTGCTACTACTTTTGCTACTTCTACTCAAAAGGAGTTACAGTATGCTACCACTTCTAAAAAATTAGCACCACTTTTTGAAACACTGTATGCTACAACTACCATTGGTCTTCCCATTAATGCTATTTTCATGTAGCATGATCTTTTACAAAACAAATTTCTAATACAGTATGTATCATTTTACAGCATCGTTCGCTGAGCGATGGAGGAATCGACGTCAGGCACGCCGGCAAGGGGAAGGAGACGATCAAGGTGGCAGTGGAGAATAAAGAAAATCAAGAAAATCATACCTGATGCATGTTTTGTTATGAACTGACCTTTGAAGTGTTGAATAATACTTGCTCTAAACTCTTAATGTTTTAGGGAGTGACTGATGGCCTAATTCATTTACATACAGTTCAGAAATTTGTGAGAAGGATGAAAATCATTGTCTCACTGCCCATTGCTACATCTCGCCTTACTTTTTGGGTGTTTAGTCTTCAAAAGAATATTACCCCAGGGTAAGGAGGAGTTTAGGTGCTATTTTGAGCTTGGATTGTTGTTAAACTGGGCTGTTTGCTGCCATTTTTTTTAATTTATAGGAAACTATCTTTTCCATTTTGATGGACAAGAAAATTAATTATTTAAAAATTGCAGCTAGAAAAATTAATATAGGTTACAATGAAGGACAACAAATTTATATATGCATTTTCAGCTTTATTAAAAAAATATATATATCACAGTACCAAAGAAATATTTGTTATAATATCTAATTGGATGTAAACTGTCTGTTGTTAAGACTTTCAGTCATTGAGTCTCATTATGTATATTGTCCTAAGGCAAAAATAAATTATGTTTATTTACTAATACAAGTACAATGGAAAGAACTATTATACAATATGTAATGATTCAACTTGAAAGTTGTGGTGAGGCATTTGTATAATAAACGATGACAATTCATGCAGACACCAATTAGTTGCCTTAACACATAAAAGTCTGATTCAACCTCGGACTGATGATAACAAATTGCACTAAAGTGATAATGCTAGGATATCAGTACATGTATAATACTGTTTTGTAGTGGTTATTGCGGTGTAGTCTGTTCTTGTGCACCTTTTCCTCATTACCAAATCAAGTCATAATCTTTTTTCATAGTGTGAGATGAAATTTTGATACCATGGCATAGTAGGAAATCTCGGGACTGTTAAACTCCATGTGATGTGAGTTTGATCGCATGGCCAGGCAGGGTTGGAGGGGTGTAATTATATATGGCATGATCAAAGCCCATCACTCACGTTATGTCAGGGCCCATTACTAAACTGCCTCTGTAACCCTTCTTGCCTGGGGTTTGTCACAGAGCCTATCACTCATGTTAAGGACCTGCACTAAGCTAACCCTTCTCACCTTGGGGTCACCACTCTACAAAACTGAAGGAGACGACACAAAAGACGTAAGCTTTAGCTTAGTGAGATAAGATCACGAGCCACAGCTCAAGGCACGATCATGACAAACAAATGATATTTTAATACCGTCACTGAACATTGTTATTTTCTTCTGATGTAGTCATCCTCTGAGATGTGTTTAGTTAAAGCTTGGTTGGGACCTCTGGAAGGTACTGAAGTGGTTAGAAAATCTGGATGATATTTCACATCTTCTTTATATTCTTTTAAGTCAAACTGTCTGTATTAGATTTTTTAGGCTTAATAATATATTGACTGTAGTAATGAAACATTTTGATTAATCCCATAAGCTTCAAGTCAGTACAGGGTTTTCGTTGTGAACTTGCTGCCAACCCTAGTTAACCAATTCAGCTGACATCTAGGTAAATTCGAATCCATCTTGGAAGACGGTCTTTCTTCATGTGATAATAGAAAACCTGTTGTCTTAACCTTGTTAATCCCTTAAGTTTCGTCTCTCAAGAGTTGATATAGTTTGTCATTTGTTGTATGACTCGCTATAAGCTACAGCAGTCCATCATTGTAAACTAATCAAACTATTTTTTCCATATACGTACATTTAAAAAAAATATAAACTGACTACAGTATACATACACAAAGGAATCAGAAAGATGGCCAGTTTAAGATAAAAATTGTTTAAGGTTGAGCATGAAAAAGCCTTCTGAAAGGCAATTGAAGCAATCTTGACAAGGAAGAGTACAGCTGCCCAGTCAAACCTAATTTTTATCCAGTTTTCTCCACATTGACAGGAATTTTTTTAAAGATGAAGGTACGTAGTCTACAATCCAATAAGTTTTCGTCTTTTTTTCGATATGTATGCTGTGTACTGTGTACTGTGTATAATATATACACAGGTATAGAAATGTTTATCCGGAACACTCCAAAAACTAGCTACATTCTGGAACAGTTCATTTAAAATGAGCATCAAATAATTTCCAGGTCAAGCAGAAAAATTTCCAACCATTTCCCACTTGTGAACTGCAGGTATATGTTATGTTATGGTTGTTTTTCAACTCGTAATTTCAAGTAGATACGCATAATTTTCTTTATTTTTATTTCCTTGGTTACATACTCACAAAATCCGACATAAAGAAAGTGCAAAGAGAAATAATTATTATAAGGTATAAAGGTTCAAGTATCTACAGGTTTCCACCGTGAAGTCATGTGGCAACGTCGAAGGAGCTCGGCTCAGAGCACAGTTGCTAGGAATGCTTTTGCATTGCTAAAATGAGTGTCAATGGTGTCTACAATACAGTGTACAGTAATGTACACTAAATTGCTATTTATATGTTTTCAATATTGCTGTTTATATGCGTACAATTTTAAGTTTAAATATTACATTGTACAGGGGGTCATCATTATAAATCAGGGATGTGTCCGATAAGATTTAATTACCCGGTAATGTAATTAGGAGTATATATGCATTCCAACATGTACAGTAATATCCCTTGAAATCTCAGCAAATCATCTTGCAATGGGGTCATTATAACATACTGTACTGTATAGTATTTGACATGGAGTTACATTCCTAACAACATTATTTGGCACCATTGATTGATACACAATGGCTCAATATGGCTACTTGTTACACTTAGACAACTGATTAATATATAAGTACACTACAGAGCACAATGTTATTTATTAAGTACTCATAAATACATTACAATATTATGTACTAAGTGTTGAAGACAGTTGTTGTGGTACTCACAAACCATCTTGAGCAGTGAGAGAAGTAGACCATTCATAAGCATCTTAAAAAACAAAAAAACAAACCGTTCTATTGTGTATTTCATTGGGGACGTACAGGTACATTTATACCAGACATCTTGCGATTGCTCATGCACCTAAGGACACATTGAGGTAGGTCAAGGTTTTGATGAATATCAATACAGAAAGCGTGAGACAGGAGCACCAGAGGAAGTCCCGGCGCATGTGTACTACACGTCCCGGTTCATGTGTACTAAAGGACGTCTGAATGCATGTGTACTACAGGACGGATGGGTACATGTGTACTCGAGGACATCCCAATGAATGTGTACCAGAGGACATCCCAGTGCATGTGTACCAGAGAGCTTTTAGGTGCATGTGTCCCAGAGGACGTCTGGATGCATGTGTACTAGAGGACGTCCCGGTGCATATGTACAGAAGGACGTCTGGATACATGTGTACTAGAGGACGTTTGGGTGCATGTGTACCTATGGCCTTTCGAGTGCACATGCACCTAAGGACACATTGAGGTAGGTCAACATTTTGATGAATATCAATACAAAATGCGTGAGACAGGTGCACCAGAGGATGTCCCAGTGCACGTGTACCACAGTGCTTTTAGGTCCATGTGTACCAGAGGACGCCACGGTGCATATGTACTACAGGACGTCTGGGTGCATGTGTACCCAAGTTCTCTTGGGTGCATGTGTACTTGAGGACGTTTGGGTGCATGTGTACCCAAGTTCTCTTGGGTGCATGTGTACCCAAGTTCTCTTGGGTGCATGTGTACCAGAGGATGCCCCGGTGCATGTGTACTAGAGGACGTCTGGGTGCATGTGAACCAAAGTTCTCTTGGGTGCATGTGCACCAGAGGACATCTGGGTGCATGTGTACCCAAGTTCTTTTGGGTGCATGTGTACTAGAGGACGTCTGGGTGCATGTGTACCCAAGTTCTCTTGTGTGCATGTGTACCCAAGTTCTCTTGTGTGCATGTGTACCAGAGGACGTCTGGGTGCATAAGTACTTGAGGACTTTGGATGCATGTGTACCCAAGTTTTCTTGGGTGCATGTGTACCCAAGTTCTCTTGGGTGCACGTGTACCCAAATTCTCTTGGGTGCATGTGTACTGGAGGACGTCGGTGCATGTATACTGGAGGACGTCCCGGTGCAAGAGTACTAGAGGACGTCTGGGTGCATGTGAAGTGTGCACCTAAGGTGAGGCAGGTCAAGATGTACCAGAGGACGTCCCGGTGCATGTGCACTAGAGGACGTCTGGGTGCATGTGTACCCAAGTTCTCTTGGGTGCATGTGTACCCAAGTTTTCTTTGGTGCATGTGTACCAATGGTCTTTCTAGTGCAACAGCACCTAACGACACATTAAGGTAGGTCAAGGTTTTGGTGAATATCAAGACAGAATACCTGAGACAGGTGTACCAGAGGACGTCCCGGTGCATTTGTACTAGAGGACGTCTGGGTGCATATGTACCCAACTTCACTTGGGTGCATGTGTACCAGATGACGTCCCGGTGCATGTGTACTAGAGGACGTCTGGGTGCAAGTGTACCCAAGTTCTCTTGGGTGCATGTGTACCAGAGGACGTCCCGGTGCATGTGTACTAGAGGACGTCTGGGTGCAAGTGTACCCAAGTTCTCTTGGGTGCATGTGTACCCAAGTTCTCTTGGGTGCATGTGTACCAGAGGACGTCCCGGTGCATATGTACTAGAGGGCGTCTGGGTGCATGTGTACCAGAGAACGTCTGGGTACATGTGTACTAGAGGATGTTTGGGTGCATGTGTACCCAAGTTCTCTTGATTGCATGTGTACCAGAGGACATCCTGGTGCATGTGTACTGTAGGACGTCTGGGTGCATGTGTACTGGAGGACGTGTTGGTGCATGTGTACCCAAGTTTTCTTTGGTGCATGTGTACCAGTGATCTTTCGAGTGCACCTGCACCTAACGACACATTAAGGTAGGTCGAGGTTTTGGTGAATATCAAGACAGAATACCTGAGACAGGTGTACCAGAGGACGTCCCGTGTGTACTAGAGGACGTCTGGGTGCATATGTACCCAAGTTCACTTGGGTGCATGTGTACCACAGGACGTCCCGGTGCATGTGTACTAGTGGACGTCTGGGTGCATATGTACCCAAGTTCACTTGGGTGCATGTGTACCAGAGGACGTCCCGGTGCATGTGTACTAGAGGACGTCTCGGTGCAAGTGTACCCAAGTTCTCTTGGGTGCATGTGTACTAGAGGACGTCTCGGTGCATGTGTACCAGTGGTCTTTAGAGTGCACATGCACCTAAGAACATATTGAGGTAGGTCAAGGTTTTGGTGAATATCAAGACAGAATACCTGAGACAGGTGCACCAGAGGACGTCCGGTGTGTACTAGAGGACATCTGGGTGCATGTGTACCCAGGTTCTATTGGGTGCGTTTGTACCGGAGGACGTCCCGGTGCATATGTACTAGAGGACGTCTGGGTGCATGTGTACCAGAGAACGTTTGGGTACATGTGTACCCAAGTTCTCTTGGGTGCATGTGTACCAGAGGACGTCCCGGTGCATGTGTACTGGAGGACATCTGGGTGCATGTGTACTGGAGGACGTCCCAGTGCAAGTGTACCAGAGGAAGTCTGGGTGCATGTGTACCATTGGTCTTTAGAGTGCACATGCACCTAAGGACACATTGAGGTAGGTGAAGGTTTTGATGAATATCAATACAGAATACATGAGACAGGTGCACCAGAGGACGTCCCGGTGCATTTGTACTAGAGGACGTCTGGGTGCATGTGTACCAGAGGACGTCTGGGTGCATGTGTACCCAAGTTCTGTTGGGTGCATGTGTACCAGTGGTCTTTAGAGTGCACATGCACCTAAGGGTCTGGGTGCATGTGTACCCAAGTTCTGTTGGGTGCATGTGTACCCAAGTTCTGTTGGGTGCATGTGTACCAGTTGTCTTTCGAGTGCACATGCACCTAACGACATATTGAGGTAGGTCAAGGTTTTGATGAATATCAATACAGAATACGTGAGACAGGTGCACAACAGGACGTCCGGTGTATGTGTACTAGAGGACGTCTGGGTGCATGTGTACCCAAGTTCTCTTGAGTGCATGTGTACCAGAGGACGTCCCGGTGCATGTGCACTAGAGGACTGGGTGCATGTGTACCCAAGTTCTCTTGGTGCATGTGTACCCAAGTGCATGTCTCTTGAGTGCATGTGTACCAGAGGACGTCCCGGTGCATGTGCACTAGAGGACGTCTGGGTGCATGTGTACCCAAGTTCTCTTGAGTGCATGTGTACCAGAGGACGTCCCAGTGCATGTGTACTAGAGGACGTCTGGGTGCATGTGTACCCAAGTTCTCTTGGGTGCATGTGTACCAGAGGACTTCCCGGTGCATCTGTACTAGACAACGTCTGGGTGCATGTGTACTGGAGGACGTCTGGGTGCATGTGCACCAGTGGTCTTTCGAGTGCACATGCACCTAAGGACATATTGAGGAAGATGAAGGTTTTGATGAATATCAATATAGAATACGTGAGAAAGGTGCACCAGA